GGGTTGTGTTGTTGGAAGTATTGTGTGAAAGACCAGCACTGGATCGAAGAGTCAAAGAGGATAAGCAGAGCCTCATCATTTGGGCTCAAGATTGCATCAGCAAAGGAGACATTGATCAGCTTGTTGCTCCAAGTCTGCGGGCACAAATATCACCGGAGAGCCTGATGACATTTCTTGAAGTTGCTAAAAGATGCTTGCATGATGAACCAAATAAACGGCCTACAATGGCTCAAGTTGTGTTACAACTTGAGTCTGCACTGGAGCAGCAGGAAAGCTCAAAATCTTCTGCTCCAGAGATAACTAGTTCTGATAGTGTCGTGCCTTGTGCTGGGGAAACTCTCCATTCAATTAGCTCTGAGATAGAAGAAATGTCCCCTGTGGATAAGCAGAATATGCCACTCTCTCTGACTGAAAGAAGCAAAATGGTTCAGAATGCTGAGCCATCAGGCAGAGGAGCACAAGTGTATAAGAGAAACATAAATGCTTATAAGCTACCACGATTTTGGCCATGGATTACATTATGGAAAAGGGCGAACTTAACAAAGAAAAACCATTTATCAGTACCAGGTAGTGTAATGACTGCATACAAATTTGATAATAACCCCATAACTGGAAGTGATTTCAAATGGTTGTCTCAGCAACTCACCCTAAGCTCAATACAATGCAATAGACGCAGTTTAATATATTATGTATTCTTCTCTTGTGGTCTGTTATCCGTTTAGCTTGTGGATTCATTACGATGAAGCTTACACAGAATCATTTATAATTAGAGCAGCCAAGCTAAAATTAATCTTAGGCTAGTTTGAGACATCTATCCCATATAAGTTCTATATCTTTGTGTTTGCATGAATGCAAATGTCTCAAATATTATTATCAAAATGCTTCTCATTTTTTGATGTTTCAGTAAGTGTAGAAATGAAAAGGAGATGCAAAAAACGATTCATACAATCCCAAATTTATTGGAAGTAAAACTTCAGTAGTTTGTTGTTGTTTTAGTTGTGAAACAGTGATTTATATCATTAGTGGATATTTCTTCTGAAATTTTTCAAGTAATAAACATTGTATGTACGACCTCTTGTAACTTGAACTCTTAATTGAGCCTGGCAGTTCACAGTACGTGAACGTGTCAAGCTTGGTTCCTTTGATAATTAGAATGCACAAGCTCGAGCAAACGTATTTATTAGTCAAATCCAAATTTGAATAGCACTAGGCTCAATCCAATTTACGTCTCACGGTGAATGACGGTATTTTCTTGCAGAATATTTTGGAGAGGAAGTTGAATCGCATAGATTTGATCTGGCTACAATTGCAGCTGCAACTAAGTTCTTCTCGCTTCCAAATAAGATTGGAGAAGGTGGATTTGGTAATGTTTATAAGGTGAGGTTTTGCTTTTCCTTATTTAGTTAGCTAGGAAATTAAGATGGTGATTTGAACTTCCATCTGTCTGCTAATGCTATTCTATCGGTGTAGGGTCTGTTATCTACAGGACAGGAAGTAGCTGTTAAAAGGCTTTCATCAAATTCCTACCAAGCCTACAATGTTCTTAAAAATGAGGTTCTTTTGCTTTCCAAACTTCAGCATCCAAACGTTATTGAACTACTTGGATATTGCATTCATGGAGAAGAATGGATACTTGTATATGAGCTCATGAAGAACAAATCTCTTGATGCTCACCTATTTGGTTAGATTACAGCCCTCTAATTTTTCTAAGATTACATTTTAGATTCTGAAATATAATTTTCTTACTTCTGCATTAACTAAATGGTGATAAACATATATGAGCTAACTTGACTTTAAATGAGACAGGTGGAAAAAGATATGAACTTGGATGGACCATACGTTTCAAAATCGCTATTAGTATTGCTCGTGGAATTCTTCATCTTCATCAAGATTCAGGATTGAGAATTATCCACAATGATATCAAAGCATGCAATATTTTACTCGACAAAGAGATGAACCCTAAAATTATAGCTTTCGGTTTAGCTAGAACTTTAGAAAGGATTGTTGAGACATAGTGAGTATCAAGCTTTTAACTCTACCTCCATCTAAAGTAACATACTAATTTGTCTAATATTGGTATGCAGTGGTTATATGTCTCCACAATATGCCATGAAAGATATTTTCTCTGTTAAGTCAGACGTGTTTGGGTTTGGAGTTCTTCTCCTAGAGATTGTGAGTGGAAGAAGAAGAATTTATTGTGCTTTTCCTGACCTTATTGAGTGTGTAAGTAAAGGAACTAACTTAAATATTATCCTCGTAATACTTGATGTCACCAAATTTACACTAAGAAATGAGTTGTATATATTTGGTATCTGTTCAGGCCTGGAAGACGTGGAACGAAGGAAAAGCGTTAGAATTTTTAGATAATTCAATGAAAGATGAGTTTCCAGTAGATGAAGCATTAAGATGTATCCAAACTGGACTTTTATGTGTCCAAAAAGGACGAGATGATCGACCAACAATGCAATCAGTGTTTGAGATGTTGGAAGGAGAAGATCGGTCGTTGCCACAACCGTTACAACCTGCATATGTTGAAAAATATCCTAGTTTGAAGACAAGCACTCATATCGACGCCACCAATGAGGTAACTGTTCCAAAGTTAGAGTGTCGATAGAAAGCATGTCTGTAGAACTGCAACCGTTTTTGTTCAATTTGAAGGTGTCTTTCATATGATTGCCAACAAAGAAACATCATTAATCTTATAAAGCTGTTTTATACTTGTATGCTATGCACAAACCATATAGTAGTTTTTGCATGTATTCATATAAACACATTGGTAATAGTTCTCACTCACATCCTTTCTTTGAGTTTGAACAATTGTAATGACATTCAAGTCCTACATTTGAAGATAAGACTATTTATCTTTTACTTTGCTAAATTGTTTTTTATTAGGCAATTTTCATCCGATAGACATTTTGAGTTCATTTGCAACAAATGTTAATATTGCGTTTGAAGTTGAGTATGAATGAAAATTAAGGATTATCAGGTAATCTAAATCTCCATTACAGTGGAAAAATGACACATAATTGCAAAAAAAAAAAAGAAGAAGACTGGCCATTTAATTTTTATACACATTTTTAACCTTGTAGAAAAACAAGATAATATTTTGAAAAAAAAAAAACTTTATCATCCAATAAGAACTCAACTAAGGTATGCTGAGTTTTAGAAGACCAACTGAAAAGCTTTGTGTTGGAGAATACAATTTCTTTGAGAAAAATAATCACTTCTTCTCATTAGCAACTGAAAAAAAAAAAAAAAATTACAGAAGCCCTATCATTCTCTGTCCTCCCTGTGTTGCCTCGGGTTCCTTACAAAGACTCCCAAAGTGTGGGTTCAAGTAAGCAGTTCCACATTCTAAGGAAACAACTAACCATTCTCTCCACAACTAAAGCACTAGAACATTTTCTCCACCTTCCATGGGAAGTGGGCTAGAGTTAGATTTTAATTTTAGAATTGATGGGGGCAGCTTCCTGTAACAAAAGAATCTGTACAGATCATCCCGGATAAATTTACTATGTAACAAGTAAATTAGTCGTGTTCTACAAGAGGGATGTTAAAGTTTGCCAATTCTGGCAGCCTTGTGGTTAGTCACTTAGTCTACAAATCTCTATTAGTCAAAAATTTAATTAGTGGACGTGACCTATTGATTTATGACTATATGCCATATTATTATATTATAATTTGATAGAGATGGGTTAGAATTGGAACAATGGACCATGTACGACGGATTTTCTGTATTAAAATACAAAAATCGTTAAAAATTGTTTTTTGAGAAATACAAATGGATATGAATCATGTTGTAATTCCAGAATTGCAAAATCCTTTGATTAATGATCTGAATATTTGAAGACGAGAGCCACGTGGCTTGAATCTTAAAATTCGACATTTGTTGAGAATTTGATTTGTCGAGAATTTGACTTGTTAAACAATTGAATTTTAGAGCTTGAATTTGCATTTCGAAACTTGGACTTATCTTGATTTAATTTGAAGAAGATTTTGATCTTCTTGGGCTTACTTGATTTGAAGAACATTTTGATCTTCTTCGTGTTCATCGGACTTGGAGTTGAGATAATTTCTTCTATTCCTTCAGTTTTGGAATTTTTTCAGCACTTTGTAATTTTCTTCTACATTTTCACCTCCTCTTCCTATTATGGATATTTGGTCCTATTTATAGGGGATATACGTGACCAATTTTGGTAACCACTCA